AAGGGAACAGGCCCCGCCCGCCGAGACCCAGAGCAAAGGGAACAGGCACCGCTCTCTTCTCGCCGGCGGAGACCCAGAACCGGGGGAACAGGCACCGCCCCAGGCTGGCCGGTGCGGCGGCGCCTGAGCGCCCTTTCGCCCGGATTGCGAGGTCCTACCCGGCTTCTGACTGTAGAGTCAGAGTGAGCTCAGACTTGGAAAGAGCCCAACGTTGCACTTCTTTCTGTGTTGCTAAAGCTGCAGTCGCAAGGCCTCGTGACTGCCTAAAACGTCGTTTTAAAGGGGCATTGCATCGACGGTTCGGCCATACCTGCTGAAAGTTTTTACCTTTCTCCCGTTCTCCACCCTGCATTGCCTCTGTTTTCCGAGGCCGGTCTCCCTGATTGGCCTTCTCTGTTTGGCCACCCTCGGCGGTCCCTGACTTGGCGTCTTCTGCCCTCGCCTCCGCGCTCGGGTTTCCCCAGAGGTCTCCCAGGGCAGGCTGCCTGCCACGGGCCCCAGCCCTGCCGCTGGGTGGGTAACCTGAGCTCGCTGAAACGCCAGACGCCTTTTCTTAAGCCTTTGCCAGTGCGCCCCAGTGGCTCACGGTAGACTGGTTTCCGTGTGTCGTTAACTACAAAGTGGCCCTGCCAGTCCTTTGTGAGATAAAAATTATCCAGGAAAAAGTTCCTAGGCAAGTTACCACTTGTTAACTAAATGCACTAAATAGCGTAGGACTATGTTCAGATGAAAATCAAAGGCACAGCTTTTATTTTTAATCCATGAGGAAATATTAAAAATATATCAGCCTGTGCAAACCAGTTACCCTTGAAGAGTAATGACCTAAAATGGTCACATTTAAATTTGAAATTGGGCAGTACGCGGTGGCCTGTAATCCCAGCACTTTGGGAGGCCGAGGTGGGCAGATCACCTGAGGTCAGGAGTTGGAGACCAGCCTGACCAACATGGAGAAACCCCGTCTCTACTAAAAATACAAAATTAGCCGGGCGTGGTGGTGCATACCTGCAATCCCAGCTAGTCGGGAGGCTGAGGCAGGAGAATCGCTTGAACCCGGGAGGCAGAGGTTGCAGTGAGCTGAGATCATGCCACTGCGCTCTAGCCTGGGCGACAAGAAAAAGACTGTCTCAAAAAAAAAAAAAAAAAAAAAGTAAACATTTTTTTTCTTTTTTGAGACAGGGTTTTGCTCTTGTTGCCCAGGCTGCAGTGCCATGGTGCAATCTCGACTCACCACAACCTCTACCTCCCGGGTTCAATAATTACACCACTCAGAGATAACATTTCCTCTCGGTCTTTCAGAAAAAACATCAATAATTTTATAAAAAGTCCTGCAAACTGTCTTTTTGAACATAAACTTGTGTCATGAGCTTTTTTCATGTCTAAAATTTCATTAGATTTTTTCTACCTAATGGTATAAATTATTTAACATTTTGCCTGTGGCTGGATGGCTTCAACATTTTTGCCCTTAGTATAAATAATGGTGGATGAAATATCTTTGTACCAAAATCTTTTTTTCTTTTAGCCTCTATATATTACCACATTATATACATAAATCTTTATCTGTATTTATGAATATGTACTCAGACACTCCAGCCTGGGCAACAAGAGCGAAACTCCGTTTCAAAAAAAAAAAAAGAAATGGAGCCCAGGCGCAGTGGCTCACGCCTGTAATCCCACCACTTTTAGTGGATCACCTGAGGTTAGGAGTTTGAGACCAGTCTGGCTAACATGGCGAAAACACCCTCTCTACTAAAAATACAAAACAGTCGCTGGGCGTGGTGGGACACGCATGTAATCCCAGCTACTCAGGAGGCTGAGACAGGAGAATAGCTTGCACCCAGGAGGCGAAGTTTGCAGTGAATAGAGATGGCACCACTGCACTTCCAGCCTGGGAGAAAGAGTGAGACTTTGTCTCACAAAAAAGAAAAAAAAGAAAGAAAGAAAAAGAAAATGAAATTACTGGGCATAAAGGTGTAAACAGTTTTAGTAAGTATTACCATACTGCTCTTCCGAGGGGTTGTACCGTTTACACTCTAGCAATACGTAGCTGTACCTGTCTCTCCCCTTTCTTGTCAAACTTGAGGAATACCCTTTTAGCTACACTAATTTATGTGTGGGTTGGTTTGTTTGTGAAATGGAGTCTCACAAACTCCATCTCTGTCGCCCAGGCTGGAGTGCAGTGGCACGATCTCAGCTCACTGCAACCTCCACCTCCTGGGTTCAAGCGATTCTCATGCCTCAGACTCCTGAGTAGCTGGGATTACAGGCGCCTGCCACCACTAATTTTTTTGTGTTTTTATTGGAAACAGAGTTTCACCATGTTGGCCAGGCTTGTCTCAAACTCCTGACCTCAAATGATCTGCTTGCCTCGGCCTCTAGCTACACTAATTTGATAAGCCAAATTGGTTATAATATTCTTTAAGTAAAATATATAAAAGAAACCCTTGCCTACACCTTCCAGTTGTTTAGTATCATGACTTCAAGTCCAATGTAGTCAGCTTTGCCTGTCCTACAGAAACAGGCAGTTTCAAAGACAGAAGCCTCATTGAGGCTGGTCTCCAATCAACATGTTTGCAGTTTAGGAGATGTTAACTAAAATGTCTGGCCAATATAATATAGAAACAAAATTTGTAAAGATTAATTTATAAGAATTTATAGATTTGTACAGTGAGCTGGTAGAGGACAGAGTGTTAAAGAGTTAGAACTTTGACTTGGAATATTAAAGGTGTGAATGTTTTATGGATTCCTCACCCTAATTGTGTAGTTGTTGAAAATCTTATTTAAGGCTGGGCATGGTGGCTCACATCTGTAATCCCAGCACTATGGGAGGCCGACCCAGGCAGATCATTTGAGGTCACAAGTTTGAGACCAGCCTGGCCAACATGCAGAAACCCCGTTTCTAATAAAAATAAAAAAATTAGCTGGATGTGGTTGTGTGCACCTATAATACCCGCTACTCAGGAGGCTGAGGCAGGAGAATCACTTGAACTGGGTGGTAGAGGTTGCAGTGAGCTGAGATTGAGCCACTGCTCTCCAGGCCTTGGCAACAGACTGTGTAAAAAAAAAAAAAAAAAAACAGGAAAAAGAAAAAGAAAATCTTATTTAAGGAAAAAAAAAATCCCATTTTGTCATTAATTTCTTGTTCTGCTCCTTAAAATAATGCTACTTGAAGAAAACAATTTTAAATGATATATTTAAAGAAAAACCAACTTTTCAATTAAATAGTAAGCAATACATGTAAAGTTTATCAAAATAAAGTTGCAATGGGAACAGAATAGATGTGAAGCAATTAGTGAGCCCCCAATTACTAAAATGTGTGATCCAGAGTAAACAAGAGCTTAAAGGAGAGATGAGAGGCACCTGTGAAATTGGAAAAGGTGGGCCTAAGAATATGTGCTAAATAGACCTGAAGTCCAGGCCTGCTGAGCAATGAACTTTGGAAATACCCAGTTTCACAGTAAATACTCAGGCATGTTTTGAGGTTGTTTTGCTTTTCAGGCAAACCCAATGTCACAGTTTCCAGAATAGTTGGACAGGGTAGAGCTCATGGTATAAAAACTCCCTTGAGGTGTTTAGTTTGCAAAACTATATCAACCTGAACACGTGAAATGTGCCTTTTTCTGTGAGTATACTGTACCGCAGAAGACATTTGTAAAAACATCCTGGCAGATTGCCCAGAGATTATCTCATAGCTGATGCAACCATTAACTCTCCACACCTGGTATCAGCCACAGTGCCACCTCCTTGCAGAGAACTCTGGGGATCTGGAAAGCTGCAACTCTGCCTGGGAGTGTGATGTGTAATTTAATGCATCATAAAATGTTCTCTTAATTCCTTTTATCCTTTGCCATTATATAAACTTTATACCTTCGAACTGGCCATCTTTTCATTAAACCACCCAGAGTCCCTGTATGCCAACCAAGTAGTAGGAATTAGTAGAGTTCTTTAGAAACACATGGAATTCCATACAGAAGAAAGAAAGATCGAGGGCTGCCTAATGACAAGAGGGTTGGGATGAGATGGTGTATATTGGGCACAGTGAGAACTGTCTGACAGCAGAAAATGTGCGTATGGCTGGAAGTAAGAATACCAGAAAGAAACACTATGACATGTATGAAACTTGGTATTTGGTACATACTAAAAACATTTTGGAAATTCTCATTATGCCCTTTTCTCCTTGTATGGTACAAGAAATGTTTTTTGCTTATGAAATTTTTATTTTGTTTTGTTGGTTTTGCTTTTGTTTTGTTTTCCAATTCCTGGACTCAAGCGATTCCCCCACTTCTGCCTCCTGAATACCTGGGACTACAGGTGTGAGCCACAAACCCCAGCTCATTTTTTATTTTTATTTGTATAGAGACAGGCTCTCACTATGTTGCTTAGGCTGGTCTCAACACCTGGGCTCATGCAATCCTCCCACCTTGGCCTCCCAAAGTGCTGGGATTACAGGCATGAGCCACTCTGCTCCCATCTTGTTTATGAAATTTTTAAATTACAATTTAAATTTTTTCATTTTCTTATTCTGTCTCATTTTCTCAAATTCTATTTTCAGACACTACTATTATTGTTCTTCCAGATAATTCAATTCTTGAATTTGTGAAAAAATTTACTTTTGTTTCCAGATTTATGGTTTTTATTACATAAGGTAAAAAAATTACAGATACGGAAAAATCAAATTCATTCAACAATAGTTCATTTTACAGAAGTACTTATTCTGTTTCCAGCTGACTGCC